GAGAGAATGATATGATAACTACACAAAGTTCTCACTTTTTGCACAAAATCATTTCATATTAATTGCATAGGTGTTACTCTAAAAATAAAATATACAATTTTTAATTATAGAATTACGACATTAGTTTGATAACTTATCTGTTAGTATTCATAGCAGTTTCGTAAGTATAGTTTGGAATTATTGTATAATTAAATAATTTACGAGATTTTAGATTTTCTTCTTCTCTCTATATATATGCTCAATTTAATATGCTAAAACGTTACTCCCTCTGTTTCAATTATATAAGCTTAGTTTTCCTTTTTTTCTTGTCCTAAATATATAGGCATGTTTCCTAATTTAGAATGTTTTGTTTCGTTTCTTTACCAATATACTCTTATTCAATTTAACCACTTAATATGCCAACTTTTTGAAATTATTCAAATACACACATTCCTACTTTTTGGAAACATGAAACAACTCTCGTTTCTTCTTCTTCAAATTAAATCATTCAAATTCTTTTACTAATTTCAATAATAATTTATTACTACATACTGAAAATTAAATAGGGGAAATTAGGAAGGATTTTGGCAAAATTTAATTTTTCAATGACATTAAAAAAGATTTCTTAATCTACGTGACAAATGAACCAAGCTTATATAATTGAAACGGAGAGAGTATATTTTATATATATCAGTACATCACAAACAGGTGATTTGATCGATGTTTAATTATACTACTTAAAAGAATAATTTTGTATATTATGATTATAGTTTACGGTGGACTCTTTATTTCATTGTTAATGAAGTTATCCGTTAAATAATTTTTTTAATTGTAGGCGGTGGTCGGCTCTCTAGTTCATTGTGAATGGAGTTAATTACACATTCAATAATATATTAATGAATTCAATGTCACCTAAGTCGATGAAAATAATGAGTAGCAATACACATTTCTAGAACGGCATAATCGAGTTGTTGACACCACTAACAAAATTTATGTTAACAAAGAAATATGGTGTCTTTTCAGGATGTAATGTTTGGTGGCACTGAGACGGTGGCGTCCGCCATTGAGTGGGCCATGACGGAGTTGTTGAGAAGCCCGGAAGATCTCAAGAAGGTCCAACAAGAATTAGCCACCGTCGTCGGCCTCGACCGGAAAGTTGAGGAGTCGGACTTCGAGAAGCTCACCTTCCTCCGATGCTGTCTCAAAGAGGTGCTTCGCCTCCATCCGCCCATTCCCCTCCTCCTCCACGAGACGTCCGAGACAGCAGTGGTGGCGGGGTACCAGATTCCGGCCAAGTCACGTGTCATGATCAATGCATGGGCCATTGGACGTGACAACAATGCATGGGAGGATCCGGAAGAGTTCAAACCCGCTAGGTTTCTCAAAGATGGGGTACCGGATTTTAAGGGAAGTAATTTTGAGTTCATTCCATTCGGGTCGGGTCGGAGGTCCTGCCCCGGTATGCAACTTGGGCTTTATGCATTGGAAGTGGCAGTGGCTCATCTTCTCCACTGTTTCACATGGGAACTGCCTAATGGGATGAAGCCAAGTGAACTCGACATGGATGATGTTTTTGGACTCACTGCGCCACGTGCAACTCGCCTTAAAGCGGTGCCGAGTCCAAGATTGCTGTGTCAACTCTACTGAGTCAATGAGTGCTGCCATTGTTGACACACTGTGAAAAGGAGTGTTACATATTTTCTATTTTCTACTTTTTTTAAATAATTTTTCCTGCATATATATTTTAGGAGGAAATGAACAAAAAATAACAGTTTGACGTAATATCTGAACATTGAATGTGCAAATTTGGTTTTTTTTATTGAAAATTGGTTTTTGAGCATTTCTCCTATTTTGTTTTGATTGTGAACTTAATTATCTGACATACATGCAGTGATCGAGTTAGAATTTGGATTCAATAAGAGCCTATTTTAATTGCAATTTTTTTTAATACAAAATTTAATAATATGAAAAACAAAAGCAAAAAAGAGAAAAGGTAATAAATTTTCCCCCCCTCAAATCTCAGTGGTTTCCCTCCACGATTAGATAGTTTTTGATTGTCCGATATGGTCGGATGGTTTTCAGTGTGTCTTGCTGGGATTGTTCCAGAAAAAGAGAGAAGAAGCAAGAAGTTTTCTTGAGTAAATTTTATAAACCTTTCGTAAAATTTATGATAATTACAGAAACTCCATCTTGTTCAAAAAATTATAGACTTTCTTTGAGATTTGTTTTCTAAAATGAATTCCCCTTTGCTAGTCGAAAGCAAATTTTTATGTAATTATAATAAAAATTGAAGGTATTAATAATAATAGTTAACTATTTTCACTTATTTTCTTTTCCTTATTTCTTAAGATTTAAATGTTTTTTTGGATAGGAAAATATTTTTAAACTTGTGTAAATATTTTCTAATATATTTACTTTTCTTGATCTTTATTTATTTTTTATTTTTTGTACTCGTAGCAACTATAATACATTAAGTTTAAACAAAATATACAATAACAACGTCATTAAATAAGAATGAAATTTTTTGGGTTTAGTTAAAATTTTGGATCAATCTTATTCCTTTCTAGGAAAAATAGATAAATTATAAATTTGACAAGTAAATTGAATGTGATTATGTATGCAAATATATAAATAAGAAAAATAATATAGTTTTATATTGAGTATAATAGAAAATATTCTCTGCGATTTTTAAAATTAGAGACGTTTATCAAAACAACGTGCTAATGGAATATTTATTAATACGAAAAGAATATTAAAATAAATAATTCGGTGCATGACCTAACTTCCAATTAATTAACAAATGAAAACAGAAAATTTAATCAGTCTAAAAAAGATCATTTTTGTAACTCACGATCTTTTTCATACTTGTCACCATATATCTCATCATGAACTTGTAAGTACGTCATCACTATCTTCGTTGTCATTTTTCAAGTACGTTAAACTATGTCCAATACCTCAATTCAGAATATCATGACTCTTGTCGATAACTTTGTGTGCTCATATATATAGAATCTTCTGTAGAATGAAGGTCTCATATAGATAGAACAAAGTAGGTTGCCCATGATCAAAGTAGATATATCCGCTCCACCAGATTGGACAGAACAACCAAATTTGAAATTTACTAACAAATATCAAAACTCATATTGCTGATGTCTTCCTTAATAGATATACGATTGAATTATTAACTGCTAGTTAAGTTAATTAGTCATTGGATTAGAAAATTCTTGCTCATTTCACCGTTTATACTTCTTGACTTACTAGAAACCAGCTTAACATCATTTTCTAACTCGCCAACGGGGTCACGTAATTGCCTGCTAATTTCAACAGAAGAACTGCATTTTATGTTAGGTGGAGAGGGATTATCTACGTCTCACATCATATTTAATTGAAGTTGCTTGTGTTTTGGAGAAAGATCATATGTCACGTATGAACGTGTTGAACAATACATGTCCAATGCATTGTCGTTGCCTCTAATTAAAACTAACAGCCGACAATATTGAATTTGAGTTTGAAATAGACAAATTGCATTGTTTATTCCTTGACTTTTCGTGAATTAACTAAAGTTGATGAAATACGTGGTTGAATTTTGATCAAAGTTGTAATTTTCATAAAATGTGGGATTAAAATTAATTGTTAACTTTTATTTAAATTTTTATATAATATTTTAACTAAACCAAATAGAGACATAATCACACATTATTATCAAAAATTTAAAATATTATCTACCTCCTCGCAGGTATTCATTTTTTTTGCTTGCTCTTGTGTATGGAAGGTAGATTCATCAAAGAAAAATTTTAATGGGACATACAAGGAAAATTTTCATTATCTGAAATATAAAGTAAGTATTTTGTTGAATTAATGGTGTTATATTACTAATATATTATAGTTGGAATGAAAAGGGTACACTCCTCGAAATGGATTATCTCATGTGAGTGGGAATGTTATGTTATGATTTTATAATGTCAAACCTGCATAAACATAAAAGGATTTGCTTATTACAAAATCATTTCGTAAAATAAAAAAGAAAAATAAACTTGTGCCTATGTTATGAAACTCATTTTCATAACATATATATATATATATATATATTTTTTTTTTTTTTTTTTTTTTTTTTTTTTTTTTTTTTGGGGTT